TGAATTTGATGAAGGTCTGACCAATCGTTTTTGAGTTATTCTTAATAATTTATATTGAAGTCGGTTGTGCAAAATTTTTAATTTTTATTTATTATATTCCTAGAAGTCTACCTGGGTAGATACATATTACTTATTTCTGTCACCTGACAGCAGTGTTTGCACTGCCGAGTTCCAGTATGTACGGTATAGAGAGCCAGTATAACTACAGGCATTCTATCTAAGTCCTCAGAGGTGACAACGCAGATGCAGCCTTCTTTGTTGTAAGTGGGCTGCGGATACCCATGGACAGCAGTAGCCACTAACCATGAGGTCGACTGTAAGTTGATTGGTTTTTAGTTGTTTTTTTTAAATGGAACCTTGCCTGTGTTTATTAAATTTATTACTAATTGGCCCGGCAGTCATTGCCCTTTCCTAGGTTGTGCAATGAGTTTATAATATAATTTCACTACGGACTTTTATAGAGTAAATATAAAATTATGGTAATATGTTTTATAATCCACGACAGTATTGTGAGCAACTAATATATGAATTCTCGTTCACACGAACACTTATACATATTTGTTAGCATTTCTCTTTGTTCCCAGGCGAGTATAATCGATATGTTCAGACAATACTGTACAATGTGTATTTCAAAGACATTCCTTGCTTTAAAGTTTTCGCACCTTTTAATTATAGTAAAACGAAACTTACAAACTAACAGGGTACTGTGTAGTGGCGGTGTAAGAATATCCACTACCCCATGTCGTCCCGTGGGTGTCGTAAGAGGCGCAGAGGGAAACATATCACATGGGCAGCAGCGTCTTTCTAATAACGACTAAAATTAAAAAAAAAACTACGGTTGCCAACCAGCTCGCCAAACATGACAACTATGGTAAATATCCCCCCTATGAGGCAATCTATGCGGGAGGCCTATGTTCAGCATTGGACTTTAATAGGCTGTAACGGTAACGATAACGGAACGTTACAAGCAAGTGTTACGCCCTTGGACATTCATAATAGGCAAGTCTGGTGGTAGTCTGGCATAAGGTGGTAGGATTACCTTGTCATACTAACATCCACTCTCTTACCGATTTCCAGCATTAAACAGCAGTGCCTGTGCTACGGTATGAAGGTGTAGAGAGCCAGTATAATTACAGGTTGTGGAGCATTTATCCTTAATCCTCTGGGGTGACTATGTATTTGTAAGCTTCTTACTTGAAGTTAGCTGCAAGTGTCCATGGACTGTAGTGTCCATTTGCCTGCAGGTGGTTCATTTGTCACTTCAGTTTTATAAAAAATAGTTTGAGCTATGCCTTAACTACCTAGGCCGCAGGTGTCACGAAGTTAGCGATCGGCTTTGACCCATCCGAGTAACTTTAGAGACATCATGGTTGAATGAATTGTCAATTCAATCAATAGAAACATATACATTACATTATAATATTATATTTATGGCAAAGAAAATATTAGTTATGGTGTGTTTGTCAACTATAAACAGTTAAATGTTGTCATAAAAATTTTGGTAAATTGAATCTTGAATAATGTAATTTATTTTATTAAATATTAAGAAATTGATTAATTGTCGTGGTGGACATGGAAACACAAATGGACCTGTTCGACTGGTGATGAACCAAGCTTTTACAAAATACAAGCGTAAAATACATAATATAATCTTAATCAACCACAGCAATCACATACTAACAGGTGGACTGTATGCTTGTTCCCTCTCACCCTCCTAATTATTTATTTTCTCTCTTACTTGTATAAAACATTACGTAATGTGTGAATGGAAAGCTTTCGTCTTTTGTTGTGTAAATGATTTACAACTGGGAGATTCACACTATATTGTCATTCTATAATAAAAAAATATAGCATCACATTAACCTTTCCATTATATAATACAATTTTTGTTCAACAACATCAGCAGTAGTGCATTGTTAGAGATATTGACATTCACAGTACCAGTCGAGTAAATGTAATTATGCAAATATAGGGGAAGCCCGGGCAAGATGCATATGTTAAGGGACAGTGTAAATAAAACTACAATTTGTTAGTCAATAGAACAGTTTATACTTTTAATTTGTAGTTTGTACTGTTTAATCATATTTGGAAAATAATAGAGAAGATGAAAAAACTTAAGCGATTTCTATAATAATTATGAGCATTAACAAAAAGTATCACTTACGTAAGTATCAAAACACCAAGTGAGAAAAGGATATTATGTTGAATTAGTTTATATATGTTTTAGCATGCATTACAGAATATTTTTTTTCTGAATGTGTATGCTGTTGGCCCTGCGGCCTTGACAGCTTCATCAAATTAGGCTCGTAACTGAGGACTTACGAACTATTTAGTGCAACGATTCTGCCGGCGGCGAAGCGGCGACCCGACCCCTGCTTTCGGAGTGAGGCTCCTCGAGCTAGGGGGGGGGGGGGAGGCTCGATGCAATTCAAGGGCCCCTCAGAAGGAGGTACGCACCTCGGCTTGAATCACTATCGCAAATTTTGATTACGGGTCGCAAAGTTAAAAACGCCCCGTATCACGGTGTTGAACCTCGTGTATGGGGTGTGTCTGAGACGACGCGTTCGCCGGCGAACGCGGTGTGCCCTAGTGTTCTAGTGTTCTGTACTAGAGTGGTGTCTGAGTGTGTGTGTGTGTGTGTGTTTATGTTAACTAAACTAATTCCCACTCCTGTGGAGGGGAGGGCGGGATCGACCTATTTATGGAAGTGATCTCGTCGTCGGGATCAAGAAGAAAGTTCTTAGGACGTCTCCTGTGGGGGGCAGCATCCCTCTGTGGGGAGTACGAGCCCGCCTCATTCACCAACGAATTTTTGCGTTCCTTATACGAATCGAAGTATCTTAAGGATTTTTTTTTTTATAGGATAAGGGTGACAAAGGAGCACACAGTCCACCTGATGGTAAGTGGTCGCTGTGGCCCATAGTCATCTATTTATGATTAAGAGTCAAAATACAGATGCGTTGTCACCCGTGAGGACTAAGATGGAATGCCTCGTTTCGTTCGATACAACTGGATAGTGGGCATGTCTCACATAATAAGGAGCTCCTGTGATCTGACGCAGGAATTTATTTTGAATGATTTGAAGTTTTTGTAAACTTCTTTTGGGAACATGAGCAAAGGACACCCCCGCGTATATCATGATAGGACGTACGCAGGTTTTGTAGAGATGCAGTTTGCGTCTTAGGGACAGCTTACTGCTTTTGTTGATTAAGGCGTAAGGTCGATACACTACGAATTTAGCCTTATTCCTAACTGTTCTAATGTGCTGAGAGAAGCTCATTGCACAATCTAAGGTCACCCCCAGGTATTTCACCTCTTGGGCCCATGGAACTGGGCAGTCGTAGAGGGAGATCGTACCGTTTTTATATTTTTTAATTTTTGTCATTTATCTGTTATAAGCAAACCTTCTGTTAAAACAGATGGCTTTGCTCTTATCTGGATTCAGCTCGATTCTCCATTTTCTGCACCAATCGCCTAATGCGTTTGCTGCAGCTTGCAGTCGACCGCAGATTCTAACCGGGTGGACATCTGAGGAATAGATGGTGGTGTCATCCGCGTATAGTGCGAGATGAGTACCTGGTATTAAGGGAATGTCACTTGCATAGAGTGAGTAAAGGGTCGGGGAAAGCACAGAGCCCCGGGGAACTCCTGCTCTGATAGGTCTGCATTACAGAAATAGTTGCCAACTCCTACTTATGAAGTGTAGTCTATATGCGCCTGTCATTTTTCATTGAATCCAATCTAATGCTGGTAGTTCAGTGCACAATAAACAACAAAAATCTGGTTTCGAGTTTTGTTTTGTAGTTTTATTGAGAATCTTTGTTGGTAGTTGGTACTATACACAATCAAAAACCTTTGTCTTTTTAATAATAGATCTACCACATGTTCGGCAGTGAAAAAATAAATATCGTAAGGAAATCTGAATGTCTGAGAAAGTGAGAATTGAGAATATTATGAGAACACGTGAAATTCGCCAACCTGCAGACAACATGGTGAATTCTTTCCTGCTCCAACCCTATTAAAATAAAATGGCCAGCGCCTAAAGACGAGAAGAAAAAAGTTTTGTAAATAAAATATAGTGATACTAGACCGTTGTCAATTTTATCGGAAACCATGAGATCTTTTTTTTTATAGGAGAGAGGGCAAACGAGCATGCGGCTCACTTGATGGTAACTGACTACCGCCGCCCATGAACAACTGCAACACCAGAGAGGGAATTGCAGATGCGTTGCCGGCCTTTTAAAAAGGAGTACGCTCTTTTCTTGAAGGTCCCTAAGTCGTATCGGACCGGAAAAATCGCTGATTGTAATCGATTCCACAAGGAAGTCGCGCGAGGAAGATAACAAAAATCTCTGAAGCAAGATCTGTGAAGCATCACTGAAAATGAATTGTTTTTAGAAAATATAATGTTGACATATTTTTTTTTCAGATTCTGAAATGTAATTAGGCTTTAATTATTATACTGCTAGTACAATGACAGAATAACATTTTTATAGTATAAAGGTGACAAACGAGTACACAGCCCACCTGATGGTAAGTGAATGCTGTGGTCCATAGACATCAATATATATATTTATCCTCGGTTGGGAGTTCAAATGCGGATGCGTAGTCCGCATGTCGGATGTCGAATGAAATGCTTCATTTCAAGTAAAAAGCGTCTCGGAATCTTTACACTCACGATACAAAGCACATCAGCACAAAGTTGACAATTTACGCTGGTATTCTTTTTAAGCATGGTCGTATCCCGGTTGAGCTTACCCATTTGTGCTACAACAATAACATAGCTGAAGCATGGCTCTATCACGTAAAATTTTAAAAATTATAAAAAGCAAATATCTAATAAAAAAAAGAACGTAAAAATGTTATTGCACTCTCTATGGGTCGTGTAGCTGAAATATCATGTGTAGGTTGTTCGTGTTTGTTAGGTGATGTGTTAAGTAGCGCAATGAGCCATCATGCTACGACAAATACTCGTTAATAAATTCATTAAATTTCCCTAGGCGATATACCGTGGCGGCGAGCGGGAGAGGCCGTACTCGTCGGGAGGAGCGCCGCCGCCGCCGGCTGAGCCCGCCACGCGCACCGTCACCATGAGCCGCGACCCAGCTGATTCCCATGGCTTCGGCATATGCGTCAAAGGCGGAAAAGAAGCAGGTGAGCCTTGAGAGTAAGAAAAGATTAGAAAATTGTATGATATCTTTTCTAATTTTAGTTATTGTAATGTGTCAGATTTCCAAACCTCAAATTTTGACATAACTCCGCGTTTCAAGGCCTAGAGCCGGATGTTATGATTTCAAGAAGAACTTACATACATAAACACTCATGCCTGTCACCCAGAGGGGTAGACAGAGACTATGAAATTCTATTTGACATGATCCTGACACACCTCTCTTGCCTCCTCCACACTCATAAACCTACGCATACATGCTCGTCGGTTAAGGGTACTCTTAATTTATTCCATTTTCAATATATCGCCAATTTGGTCGATAAACTTTCTATAGAATAAGGGTGACAAACGAGTACACAGTCCACCTGATGGTAAGTGGTTGCTGTGGCCTATAGACATGTCATCTATCTTCGTTTGCAAATTAAAATGCAGATGCACTGTCAGCCGTGATGACTAAGATAGAATGCCTCTTTTCCAGTAAAAAGGGTGCTTCATGGTTTGTACTCTTCAACTAATAACGTCCTCTCTGGATATTTAATTCATCGCGGGATATGCTGTTTTAATTATAATAAAATACTTGTAAATGTGAAGTTAAATTATAGTGAAATGAATATACTTGCATCCCATAATTTGAAATGATTAATTACGACATCGATAGACGTATGGTTTATAAATTAGTAGTAACATAATAATATATATATATATATATATATATATATATATATATATATATATATATATATATATATATATATATAACGTTGATAGGAAATATTAAATTTATTATCACGGTTGTTATATATGTATTATAAGTTACCTAATAAATCTTTCTTAAAAATTTAGTAATAAAAAATAAACAAATACTTCTCTAACTAATAACTCCAGGAAGTAACGTAGTGTAATGAAAAAAAATACCGGCAAAGTGGGAGTCGGACTCGCGCACCGAGGGTTCCGAACAAATCTTTAGGTATATAAGTTTAAAATTATTAAAAATATTTTTATTAATCAGTTGTTGCGCTGGGGGCCGCGGGTTCGAATCCCGCACGGAACAAGTATTTGTATGGCCTACAAATAATTGTTCCGGGTCTGGATGTTTGTCCTTGTGCAATTTATGTTTGTAAACTGCCTCCACGACACAGGAGAAAATCCTAGTGTGGGGGTAACGTTTTTAAAAAATAAAACAAAAATGTTGTAACTAAAAATTTATACTTTTCACAATTTTTCCTTTATCTGTGCTATAAAACGTTGCTTCGTACCAAATTTCAAGATTCTGAGTTCACGGGAAGTACCCTATAGGTTTTGATTCCCTTGCGAATGTCGAAAATTTACGGCATAAACGGCTGTATCTTTTGATTGCGTTAGCTTAGATTTTTAGAGCTTAGTTTGATTTTTTCACAGCTTTAAGGGACAGTAGACTTGAGTATTTGATATGAATTTCAGCTTGATATCTCTACGCGTTCCTGAGAAAAAGGGTCTTGACAGACAGACAGACAGACAGACAGACGGACAACAAAGTAATCCTATAAGGGTTTCGTTTTTCCCTTTTGAGGTACGGAACCCTAAAAAAATAAGGTGTAAATAGGAAATATTAAATTTATTATAACGGATACATGCCAATATAATTGATTCTTTAATTATAAGTTAATAGATCTTTCTTAAAAATTTAATAATAAAGAAAAAGAAACTAATAGTTCTGTAACAAATAACTCTAGTTTATAAATTAGTAGAAACGTAATAAAAAAAAAATACAAATATTAAATTTGTTACAATGGTTATTTTATATGTCAATTATTGATCCTTTATATTTAAGTCAAAAGATCGTTTTTAAAAATTCATTAATAAAGAAGGAGAAACAAATAGTTCTCTAACAAGTAACTCCACATTCTATTCATTAAAAAGAAATTAGTCCTCGAGTGTGTTTGGCTTTGACGAAAATGATATTGTATAAAAATTTATCGCTGTATTTTAAAAAGATTCTAATAACGGATGGGTCAGCTCGGCCGGGGAAGGACCACGCTCTCACAAAATACCAACGTAAAAAAGCAGTTTAATGCTGCTGTGTTTCGTCTGATCAGTGTAGAGAGGCCGAGACCGTTTTTGCTGGAAACAAGGCATCCCATCGTATTAATATATTAATTAGGGATAAATGTAGATATCTATGGGCCACAGTATCCATTTACCATCAGGTGGACTGTGTGCTCGTTCGTCACCTTTATTCTATAATAAATATATGTGTATTATAATACAAACAAAAACAAAGAAAACGAATTTTTCAATAATAATTTTGTTTTACCTTATTTGATTATTTTATATAAAAAACAATTTGAAAATATAATAACTAACAAGCACATGCATTTTGTGAAGTGTTAAAAGCTTAATTTTAAAACTTCGATCCGCGAATTTTTACTTGTGAAAATTGTCTGTATTGATTTGCTTAGGAGTCGGAGTGTACATATCGCGGGTGGAAGAAGGGTCTGTCGCGGAGCGTGCGGGTCTTCGCCCAGGGGACTCCATCTTACAGGTCAACGGTACGCCATTTTCCGGGATATCCCACGAGGACGCGTTAAAGGTAAGACATTGTTGACCGTGATGAGATTTTTAATTGTGTATTTTAGATGTTTTGTTTCATATAAATGAGATTGTTAAAAACTACCACGTGGCTGTCAATTTGGTATGTTAATGGAGACACCACTGTCATAGATGCACTGAGAACCAACCAGCTCCCGCGTGAAATATTAGCGTAACGTGATCTCATTTTGTACGATTTTTAACTATGGTCAATTTTCAAACTACGGGAAGCCACAAAATGGTAACGCTATAAAATCGAAGGTAAATTAGATTGCAGTATCATACACAGGGGTACAATACCACAACCGGGAGTACTACGGTGTAACTGTAATACAACTTACCTGGGTGGATTGAAAAGTACTCGGCCTAACACAGATCCATTCAATTCTAAAAATCAAATCTACCCACATTATTTAGTTCAGTTCAGACTAGTTCATTGTGTGAAGTTCGAAACGTGTGCGATAATTAGTTGTGATTTTATAAATTTATTAATAAAGTAATCGGACATAATTTCCGCGAATGGAGCAAATCGAGCAGCGTGCCGTCATTAAGTACCTCCATAAGAAGGGGCTATCATTAAAAGCCATCCATGATGACATGGTCAGTACATTAGGCGATTGTGCTCTGTCATATTCATCCGTCAAAAAATGGATAGCAGAATTTAAGCGTGATAGAGAGAGTGTGAAAGATGAACCCCGCTCTGGAAGGCCTTCGACGTCAACTACTGACGAAAATATTAAAAAAGTACTTGATTTAATAATGGGAGACCGCAGATTAAAAATTAGAGAGATAGCCGAGATTATAGGCATCTCTTATGAACGAACTCAAAACATCATTGTCAACGAGTTGGGTTTCCACAAGGTGTCTGCGAGGTGGGTTCCGCGACTGCTTTCAGTTGAACAAAAAAGGACGCGATTGACTATTTCACGCGACTGTTTGGAGTTATTTGAAGCCGATGCAGATGATTTTTTGAATCGTTTTGTTACTATGGACGAAACATGAGTTCATTACTGTACACCGGAAACAAAACAACAATCAAAACAGTGGAGAAGACCTGGTTCACCACCCCCTAAAAAGGCTAAGTCGATTTTGTCGGCAAATAAGGTGATGGCTTCAGTATTCTGGGACTCGAAAGGTGTGATTATGATTAATTATCTTGAAAGGGGTCAGAATATAAACTCTGATTACTACTGCACCTAACTACGTCGTTTACGAGAGGAAATAAAAGAAAAACGTCGAGGAATGCTCAGAAGAAAAGTCCTGTTTCATCAAGATAACGCCCGTGTTCACACGTCAGTACAGTCAATGGCTGAAATTCACAACTGTGGCTTTGAACTGTTACCGCATCCGCCGTATTCACCTGATCTGGCACCATCAGACTTCTTTCTGTTCCCTAACCTAAAAAAGCACTTGGAAGGTCAAAGATTTTCGACAAACGACGAGGTCAAAGCAGCTGTAGACGCATATTTTGACTCTAAGGAAGAATCATTTTTTTTCAACGGTCTAAATGCTTGCAAGGGGAGGTGGCAAAAGTGTATTGAACTTGATGGTGATTATGTAGAAAAATAAAAATAGAACTGATTTAGTATGTGTTTATTTTCTTGGTTAGGCCGAGTACTTTTCAATCCACCTCTATTATCGGTGAGATCATTACGCAACTGGATTATTATTTTATTGTGATAACACTTTGTAACAAAAATTAAGCTTTTCATCGGACTTCAAAAAATGAGGAGTTTCTCAATTCGACATCTCAGAACTTTTTACTAGGTGATACGATTTCGATGATTCTTTTATTTGAAAGCTGGTGCTTTTCATGTGGTCGCATATAAATTTTGTCAAGATATGATCAGTAGTTTTTGAGTTATCCTTAATGATGCGTATTTAATTGACTCCGACCATTAATGATGTTCTCATTTTATTTATGTTGAAGTCGGCTGAACAAAATTTAAATTTACCACTTGTACACAAAAATACATCGACTCTAAATTTACACTACCTAATACCTTTACGTAGTACGACAAAACAAAACTTCAATTTGTGTTTACCATGAATATTGGTTTATTATTCTAATCCGCAGTAGAATAGCAAGGTATAATAACCATCTCTAATTGTAATGCCACGCTGACATTAGCATAACGCTATCGATCGAGAACCGGAGACGTAATTAGGTAACAGGTGCGAGATATTATTTCCCTGGTTCCGATCCGGAAGTTAAAATAAATATACCTTTACCTCGTGTGACCTACTTTACCGGGAATGAATTTGGTATCTATGGAATACAGTCGGTATAAAATAAACATAGGACTCACCCTAGGAAACTTTGTTTTTATTAAACTTAAACAAACTTTATAGTAATAATATTTTTAGTAAAACTTCATATTTGAATAAGAACAGAATTATTAGAACAGAACAAAGTGTCAGCAGAAATTGCATAATTTAATTCCTCCCTCTCCTATACACCATCGGACAACCAAACGTTCGACAAGTCTGTACCTTTTTGTTATTGACTTACCACGCATTCGATCCAAACGGTTTGCTGCATCGTTCATGTACAGCAAAGGAGTGGAATAAGTTGACATCATTTGTGTTTCCATCCGATTACAATGTCGGTGTCATCAAGGCAAGAGTGAACAGAATTTTATTAAGTCAGTGCGCCTCACCATCTTAGGCTACATTAACATTTAATATTAGGTGGGATTGTAGTTAAGCGCTGGCTTAAAAAAAGAACTATTTTATGTTATGAATGATAACGTTGGTAGTTATTCTTATATCGAAGTAAGTCTGCAAATCTACACCTTATTTGTTTGAATATTGAATACTAGCTGTCCCGCGAGTCTTCGCCCGCGTGGTATTTATTACTATTGGTATTTTATGGTTTTAATTTTTTTACGCGGAACCCTAATTCTTTTTGAGTGAAAATTCCGTTAAAATGGAGATTTGCCGGAACAAACAGACAGACTGACGGACAGAAAAAAATGTTTTTTTGTTATTAGTACCTACCATATATACTTTCATATGCATTTAATGCACTGAATCAATGAAATTGTTAATTGCAAATTTAAGTGCTGATTTACCACGTGCTCGGCGGTGAAGGAAAACATCGTGAGGAAACCTGCATGTCTGAGAAATAAGAAAAAAAAATATTTCGAAGACATGTGAAGTTCACCAACACGCATTGGGGCAGCGCGGCACACATTTCCTTGCCCTAAAACCCTCTCAGAAATGAGAGGAAGCCTTTGCCCAGCAGTGGGTCCTAAATAGGCTGCAACTTTAACTTTAACTTTAACTTTATGCATTTAATAAAAAGCTATCATTTTGACATTACAAACAGATACTTCAATTTTATTTATTTTTTATGTTTAATTTATACAGTCACTCATACCTTCCTCAATTACAATATTTTTGAGATGATTCACCATAATCAAATATAATGACAAAGTTGCCACGCATGGCAAGCGGTTGCCAACCCGCTTGTCAAGCGTGGCATCAATGGCAAATATATCCTCCCTATAAGGCAATCTATGGGGGAGGCCTGTGTTCAGCAGTGCCTTTAGTAGACTGTAACGCTATCGTTAATCAAATATTGATTTAGTTTAATATAGATTTATATTGACCAAATAATATGTAAAAAAATATGAAGTATATCAAAATATAACTTCGAAGTATAAAATTTCTTCATCAACAAATGTCATCCAAAATCCCAAAACGACGGTTTATTCTAAGTGATACTAAATTTGATATAGGATAATCAACTGTATGAACTATTTGATATATTCCCCACGTTCGATTTAAGTATTAACCTACAACAGTGAATACATATAAAAATACATAGTAAAGAACGACAGTCTCGACATGCAAATGTTATTACGCACAGGCAAGGTTGCAAATGACACTGACAGACTGACAGCGACATTTTCTATTTCCGTACCCACGCGTATTTCTTTTTTCTTTGCGGCTCCAATGACAACGTTCTGCAATACGTATTTTTATAAGCTTATTTTATTGTTGTTCGTCTACTTAAATGGATAATGTTATAAGAAGTTTAATCTAAAAATCAAATACAGGACACGGTGTCTTATGTTATGTTTTCGATGCTTTTTTATAGAATAAGGGTAACAAACGAGCACACAGTCCACCTGATGGTAAGTGGTTGCTGTGACCCATAGACATCTACATTTGTCCTCAATAAAGAATCAAAATGCAGATGCGTCGTTACCCGTGAGGACTAAGATGGAATGCCTCTTTTCCAGTAAAGTGGGTCTCCGGTTCTCTACACTCATCATACGAAACACAGCAGTGTCAAGCTGCCATTTTACGCTGGACCCATTCGTGCTACAACTATACTACTAATATAGCTGCAGCATGGCTCTACCACGTACAAGCTTACGCCATCGCCGCCTCAAGAAGGCATGAGTATGATTTTTTGGTTTAAAAAACTACGGAATCGACTTTAACCAAACCTCAATTGGATTTACTTACTACGTGGTAGTGCTACTTTTTATTGTGAACAGACAATATAAATAAAAAAAAATTGCCGAGAAGTCCGTCTAGGTAGGTACTAGGTACTACCTTCTTACTTATTTGTGCCGCCAAATGTCAGTGCTTGCACTGCTGTGTGTGTCCAGTCCGAAGGGTGCAAAGAGCCAATTTAATTATAGGTAGGTATTCCATCTTAGTCCTCAGATATGACAATCTGTAGCCTTCTTTGTACTAAATTGGTTGCATATGTCCACGGACAGGAGCAATCATTTAACATCAGGTGGACTGTGAGTTCGTGTCTCGTGGACTGTGAGTTCGTGTCTCACCAAGAGTTATATACAAACGGTATACTTCATCGGCCCGTTAATGTTTACTGCTGAACGTGGGCCTTTCTCATAGTAGGATAAAGATTTGCATTTACTCACGCTTGGCAGGACAAATGAAGGTCGCAATCCAATCATACGTTTTGCACCTTTGACCCTGTTTCTCATAAAGTTTTTGGGTATGTCACGTCTGACGTTA